TATGACCGCACATTTGTCCACACCAAATGTCATACCAATGGCTCTGCTAAAATCATCGGTCACTTTAAGCAGAGTCATTAAGTCAGACTTCTTGGATGCGTATAATTTGAGATCATCCATGTACAAACGGTGCGATATGATCTCGCCCCCTCTACGTAGACGATAACCTAGCTCTGTACTCTTTAGCAGTGTGCTCATAGGGTTCAGAGCCAGGCAAAACCACAATGGGCTCAGACTGTCACCTTGAAAGATGCCACGCCGAATTCCAATACGGCCAGAGGAAGTAGAAAGGTTTCCCTGTCCTGAATTGGAAAAGCTTGTGTTCCACTGTCCCATGCATGAGTTAAGGAAAGTACGTACTGTAGGGTGTATTTTAATAATATGGCAACGTTTGTCACTGTCAACACGCAAATAATTTTCTCCGATTACAATAATATTTAAATTCTATAATTTATCAAGATTAATCCACAATAGAAAATGGAAAAAGTAAAAATAAAAGAACTAAAAAAAAACAGATACAAAAACCAACAATTATAAATGAGGAGAAATCCAAGAAGACAGTGTCGCGATGCCGAACTTGAATACGCACGCCCACCACCTTATCAATATCATTAATAAACTAACTGCTACACAGGGATGTATTTAAAAATGAAATACGTTCCTTGTAAATATGCATAAGTTGTACACCTGTGTTACGCGGCCGAGGAGGTAAGAAAAAACATCTCCTGTATCAACGCACAACACGATAGCGTACTATGGATTAATTTTTACTATATTTTCTGCAAAATTGAACGTTAGTATGTCTCTTATAAGATTCGGAATTGAACAGATTTTTATGAAACTTTGTGTGAATGTTCAGAGGACGCCAAAGAGAGCCCAAAAATCTAAAAAAAAAAAATGCATTATGTCTTTTTGTTTTTGATTATTTGAATTACTTATGATGTTGTCTTGACTCTAAAATTACTAGGAATAATGGGTTGATGTAGTAATTAACAATTCACAATATAATTTTCCTTAATTATGTGTATCTAATCTTATATGTTTCGTACAAAAGGTTTTTAAAAAAGATAAAGTTGACAAAGCTTTTGAATATGTTCAAATTGAAACATGATTTATAAATCTCTAATTTATTACACGCACGAGAGATAATATAATACAACGTAATAACAATAGCGTATTCCAAACCGGAATACTGACGTAACATAAAACTGTCTCCTAGACTTTGCGGTCAGGAGTGGCGCATCCACAATATTCTGAACGTTGCACTTTAGAGAGGGACAAAACGATCTGATCTCTCTGTCCCCCGCGGCCGGTCGCTGCACGTGCGCCACGACAAAACGAGTTCTGCCCGCGGACGGCATAAGATTTTATTAATTTGTGTTTCTTATACATTCTGTATATTACTTCCAACGGATTCATGGTATCCTGGTACTTGGTCCATCGATTTCATTGATAACAAATTGCCCCCTTTGTTCTGTCTCGGGGTCTCGTTTCACATTTTTATTTTTAAGCAAACATTTGTCATAGTCTTTTGATTTCTAGAAACGATATATTTTACATGTTTATTATTCAAGCTTTAACCAATGAGATGTTACTTCGCAGATTTTAAATGGAAACAATTTCATAAGTATTAGGTACCTTATTCCTTATGTAAGATTTAATATAAAACTGGACGAAAATGTATAAATATTAGACAACGTCAAAAAGTTAGTTAATATTTTTTTAATAAAAAAAAATAATTGGCAGAATAAACTAAATACCATTGCCCTTAACTCGCTAAAAATAAAACACTGCTACATGCCCGCCCACGTCATGTTGACAAGCGCGTTTGACGTGTAGGTGAAATGGCGCTAATAAACATCTGATTTATACTCCAACAACATAAGTACTATTTTGTGACAAAAGAAACAAGGAGATAAGCGAATCATGCATAAAAAAACATGTTCAAACGCGTTTGCAGTCAGACAAAGATAAGCCTACGTCACGTCAGTATGTTAACTTTAAAAATAATAAATTATTTTCTAAAATATCCACTATTAATGTAAAGCAAGACTACGATTTAGAAATAATGGCATTAACTTAAAAAATAATAATTTTTGTACAGTTTCATGATATCAAAAATGTATGGAGTTTGTGTAAGAAATGTATGGACAATAACTTGTATACATTTAGACCTTTCTACTAGTCACTTTAATCAAATATAATTTCTAGAACTGTACTTAAAAAATCTTTTTCTTTTACAGATCGTCCATACTCCGAATCTGATATCGAACGACCTGCACCTCCTCCGCAACCATGTAGAAGATCAGCTTCCTCTCCACCTCTCACCCTGACACTGGATTCAGAATTGGAAGACGATGTATTCGTTAGTCCAAGAACGAATAGTGGAAGCGATCCTTTTTCCACAACTAATCTGGAGATATTTAGATATGGTAGTCCTCGGACTCCCGCTGGGTTACTCCTGAGTCCAAGAAGGGAGAGATCTTTTACGTTCTCCGTGACGAGTGAGAAGCACTGGAGGGACAAGGGAGGGACAGACGTTGCTGATGGAGTTACTAGTACGGATGTGGTAAGTTATGTTCTTACCAATTAAATGAATATTCTATCAGAAAAAAACCTATTGCGCTGATGCTACGTAGAGACGTAATGTAGTAAGGACAAGGAGACGAATAACACATAATAAATAATATGTTCATTACGCGAACGCTCTTTAATTCGGGTCTTTGCCAATTGCGTGTTATGTTTTGCTTATGTTATGTTAATTTTCCTTAATAAAGATTTTAACGAATCAATAATGACTTAATTAATTATTACGCCTAATTACTTATTAATTATTCGATTTAAAACGCAGTAAATAAAACGTAATAAACACCTAAATTAACCATATTCACTCTTTGATGAGTTATGGTCATAGATTAAAACTTAACGCACAGGTTCTAATGTAAATTAAAATCTGAATTTTATTGTTGAATAAAATTCATCCACTTCTATGCTTCTAGAATCTATTTTAACCCGATATAATTCCACAATCTGGCACCCTTATTGTTGATTTCTGAAAACAAAAACCTTTATAAAGGTCATGAGAGCGATGATGAAATGTTTTATGCAAGAATTTTGGTTCTCAGAAATCAACGATTAGAAGATGTCACTGTGATTAAAATTTAATAACAAAATCTCCTTTATTTTCTTTAAAATAATATCCTAAAACACCATCTGTGTCTTTATTTTTGTTCTATGCCGCTAAAAGTTAACAATATTAACGTAAATAAACGCTCGTTTGCGGTTACAAGATAATATAATAAAAGCAAAAATAATACGTAATGTGCGAAACGTCGCAGTGTCGGGCAGAATGTTTTGCTAAAAAGTCGCACGTGCAAACCTTTGTCCCGCCGCGAGTGAATCATGTGTCGATGAACTACGCATTATGTTTACCACGGCTTATTACTAGATTGATGTGTTTGTGGCTTAAAATAAACACACATAAAACAACCATCGACTACAGCTACAATAAAACAATGTAAATCTTAACGACACACATGTATAACTTAAAATCCAAGATTATTTTATTAATTTAAACATAAACTGATTACTCAAATAAGTAACTCAAGATAAGCATTGAATAGTTAGTTACTAATACTAAGTCGACCATTCGAAAAGGATTTATCTTTACTTTAATAAAATTTGTCATCCTTCCAAAAAGTAAAAGCAAATATTCATTACTTAAACGGATTGCTATTCACAATCATCAGGCGCTGTAAAATCAACAATAAACGGGGTCCAAATGAAATAATTCCGTAACATTGTACAGTAAGGCTCCTCTCGATCGAGTAATACCCAATACAATACAATTATAATGTTAATGCCACTATAAAATAAAAAGTGCTGACTGAAACAGGAAATTAAATCTCATCGAATGCGCACCGGTTTACGCCCAAATAAAGTTTAGTGGGCGAGTGTTTCTTTTGGCAGTTGAGTTAGCACAGATAGAGTGGAGAGGGCTGCTTTAATAATATATATAGGTGGTTACGAACTCCTATATATATTATTTCACGTAAATAATAATTTTATATTCGAATAATATTGTAAACTAAACAAAAATAAACAGTTTAGCATTAGATAGGATTAAAGAATAATAGATTAATGAGTTACTTAGATTGTTTGTTTTTAATTTATATTCTGTAGAACAGAAATACAAATAGAGGCGCTTAAATAACCGCTACGACTTAGGGTCCTTCAAGAGGCGAGCATATCACCATCTCAAAGGCCGGCAACGCATCTGCGGTTCCTCTGGTATTGCTGATATCCATGGGCGTCGTTGAACACCTCGGTGTTCCCGCTGCTCGTTTGCCCCCTTCTGTTATAAAAAACATATTATACGGAAAGGATATTCAATGAAACAATGTCTCCTTATTATTCCAAAAACGTAAAATTTAAATTTAATCCTACACAAATGCGTGTACGTTTGTTGGCATTTTGCCATATTTCGCGTTTGTATCATATCCTTACTCGATCTGTGTCAACTGACTTAATATTACTGTAAAGTAGAAATGCTAGAAACATTACAATTAAAACCACTATCATTATTATTTAACTTTAATATGATGACGAGTCGAATCCGGTAATAATAACGAAGTAACGGCCCGAGCCGAGGTTCATGAGGGAGCCCTCGAGCTTAGTTACTCTTAAACGAGGTTTAGGCAAACTACCATCTGCGCTCGGCCACCTCAAGCCCGGTGAAGCTGTAAATGCCTCCTCAAGGCAAACAGTGGTAATCAGTCACAAAAAAAAATTGTGACGAGAATAATTCTATAGTTATGTCTCATGTTTTTAAATTTGAGAAATTGTAAACCAACGGCTATCTGTTACCTGCCACTTCGTCGTGCGGAATCAAAAAAGTCTTAAGTAGACTTAAATTTTAGATTATGTTCTACATCTGTGCCAAATATCAGCGAGATGCAGACAGCCGTTCTCGAGATATTTTCAAACAAACATCCATCCATCCATACGTCTCTAATCTTTTTTTTCCAACAACAAGAGCAGAGCTATAACAAATATTTCGTTATTCAGTTGTCCGATGCATTATTCAGACCAAAAACAACACAATTACGTAATAATGTAAACATGACATGTTATTTTTGGCTAAACTTTATTATGAAATCATCTGTATATTTTCAGTTAGCGAATATAGGTCACGTTCTGTAAAACATCGTCAATCCTGATTCATAATCACTGCCCCAAATAGATAAATACCCACGTGACAAATTGATTAAACCATTAAATTATCAAAGAGTCTTTATACGAATAATGTGATATTTAAATTGACTTTGGATTAAAAATAAAGTTCGTACTTAATAATTACGCTGTAAATTATGATGGACTGACTGACGCTCGCAATTCCGTCCGCGTGAAATTAGAAATACTTTAATTAGTAATCTATGTGTTCTTCCAGACTATGTTCTACACCTATGCAAAATTTCAGCATGGTCCATTCAGTCGTTTTGAAGATAACTTCTAATAAATATCCATCCATCTAAACTTTGGCAATTATAATATTAGTTAGTTAATAATTTCTAAATTCTTCATTACGCGAAGTAGAGAAATGTAGTTTCAATACAATAAAAACTCTAAAAGAAATCTATATATATAAAAGAAAGTCGTGTTAGTTACACTACTTTTAACTCAAGAAAGGCCTCACCGATATGGCTGAAAATTGGTGAGGACGTAGCTTAGAGCCAGGAGACGGACATAGGATACTATTTATTCTTATTTTCGAATTCGGCCTAGAAGAGCTGCTTTTTAAAACACTTACTAATATTATAAATGCCAATGTTTAAATGGACGTGATGTGGATAGATCTCGATTAAATTTGGCATACGTATAGAACATAGTCTGAAAGTACACATAGGCAACGATAATTAAGTTTTTTATATATCCACGCGGACGGAGTCGCGGGCGACTGCTAGTTAAATATATTTAGAATTTTCAAAACTTTTTAAAAAGCTTCTTCCACACTTTGTTAGCTCTCTTCTTTCAATCTTGACTTTCACTCTCATTGTAACTTTACGTTTAGTGTGAAATAAACTTATTTTAGTATTTAGTACAAAATTAATTGCCCCACAAAACATCGAACGGAATAGTAGGAGGGGGGATTTACGCCTTATTGGATGGATTTGATGGGAGAGCTTAGGATTTTGGGCAATTCATTCTAGTGTTATGATTCATAAAGTTGTGTAATTTATTGACTATTCCGAAATGAATTGTTTTTGAGCTTACTTCGTTTTTATTTTCTTTTTAACATTATTTTTAAAGGCACTTTTTATTTTCTTACTTCCGCACATATAAGCTACCTTTTAGTGAAAGTCCTTTTTTTCCAGAGAGGAATGTTTTATGCATACTCCGCAACCCGGGGTGGATGCGGTAGTTATGTGGGATTCTCCTCCATTTCGGAGGCATACCCACTAAACTTCTCTGTTCCTCCAACGCATCGGGACGGCACCACGGGCACGCTTTCGCTCTTGTCCGCGGCCCAACCAGTTAAAGTCCTGTCAAAATTGGTACAGACGTTCCGGAGATTTTCCGAATTTCTAACAGACAGACAGCAACGCAAAAACAGATAGTCCAATTTTAATCAACGTGTAGATCTTAACAAAACTTTTATCTAAATCCAATATGTGGATTTCGCGTCATAGTAACAATTTTCGTCTGTGTTTTTTTTTAAAAAAGAATAAGAGAAAGGTTATTTAGAAATATTTTAACAATAGAAATACATACTAGGGTTTCATTCAGGGACCCACTACATGAACAGTCTTACGCGAATTTAAAAACCTGAAACTAATATTTAAGTGTCAATAGCCTAATGGTTAAGGGTACGGATTTTCGATCACGAAGTCGGGGGTTCGAATCCCGCCATTCGACTATTGTCGTAAACCATATCCTAGCACAAGCTTAGAGCTTATTTGGAACGTTAAAAGAAATATTAGTAAATTTACAAAAAAAATCTGCTCCAAATTTTTCCTTAAAAAAAAATCTAATACTATCGTATTTATACATTTCTTACGAAATGGCAAAACTCCATACGCTATCGTACTACATTTATTTTCGTCACTACTCCGTGGGAGAGATTATACTCGTAAAGTCCAAACCACACTGGCTATCGTTTGAAACCTTTCGCAATTAAGCAAGATCCTACGTTGTACTCGCCAGTCAAAGAGAAGACGTTAAAGTTACTGAGACACGGTTCCATCGTTTTATAGCACCTTTTATTATCTGTGCACAGTCAATTGTTTGTTCTGCTGGTGATTTAGTGTTTCTCGCTTATGTAAATTTTGAATGCAAATGTGTGCTAGCTGTCGCCCGCGACTCCGTCTGCGGGAAATTAAATAAAAACTTAATGAGTAGCCTATGTGTTCTTCTAGTTGTTCTATATCTGTGCTAAATTTCATCAACTTTCGGTAAGCCGTTCCGAATATAAGGTAAACAATCATCCATCTATCCATTTAAACATTCGCATTTATAATATTAGTAAGATGAAAATGAATATTGGTTGGACGTTAAGTTATTGATGAGTTA